AAATAGTAGTTTTCCTACGAGTTTGAAAAGTCTCTGTTTGCGAACCGAGAAGTTTGCGGCCCGAGCCGAAGGCGAGGGACGTAACGAGGTTCGTGAAGGAGACTTTTTGAACGAGTTCCGGAAAACTTTATATTTTACAGTTTTTTCCGTGAGTTGAATAAAATACAATTATAAGGCCCATTAACTTGATCCCATCCATACAGGAATTCTACAGATGTTTTACTTACCATTGCGTTTGTGCAATCTTTCTCACATTATCAATAATTTAAAAAGACGTTTACACGTATCTCAGTATGAAAAAGTGTAATATTCAAGTGGGTATAGAAGTAATTAAAAATTACTTTTTGAAGTGCAAATTTAGAACTGAATTTTTCATTTTTGGAACACTTATACATGCAATATATGTTACAGGAATTAGAAGCCTCAAAAAAATTGAATTTCGTAGTTGTAATTATATTTTTTAGGAAATTTCCAACTTTATGTATTTTCTTTTCATTTAGCAAAACACTAAACCATAAAATAATAAGAATTCAATTCATGAAAAAATTACAAAAATTTTGACTAAGCATATTTTATCTACTTCAGCAATCTCTTGGTACGTTATATTTGTATCCTCCCATATATGTCGATTTGCAGCTTGTACACAATAATATTTTGATTCAGCATCATCAAAAAGTTTTTTTTTGTATATTTCCGATGGAAAATAAAAAAATTTAACAACTATAAAAGTGCGTTATAAATTATTGTTACCTACGTTTACAAACACATATATTATAGGAGATTTGTAGAAAAGTTGGAATAGTAGAGTTAGGATTTAAATAAATCAAATAAGATGTAATTTAAATTGTCACAACTTTCTCTGTATTTATACGATTAAATGTACACTTTGTCATTTTTTTTCATCACAAGTTTGATAACTTTTTTTGGGAATCCAGTAGATTTACATAGCATCATTTTTTATCGCATTTAAAAAAAAAAAGGCTTTTCGTGCCCAATGAGCAAAAACGTTAGCAAAAAATAAACGCTGTACACGAGGGACAAAAGTTATCATCCTTTGTATACAATAGACCGGAACGTGTAACATCGTAACATCGATTAATCGCGTAGCAGCTGCTTCTCATCATCATTAATATTGTTATTTTTATGATCTTTTATATTATTAGCACAATTAATACTTACACATTATTATTATTATTACTATCGTTACTTATACTTAAATTTTTTTCAACTTTCCGAGTTCACCGGACAAACAGTTAATAATATACATTTATAAAATCAGTAACCCGTCAATGTAACAACTTTAATCCATACACAACATTTGTTTGCTTAGGTATATTTATGTTTTTTTTTTTTTTTTTTTTTTTTTGTTACGTATACGTATATGTTTATCATCCGGTATAATTAATACATTTGTGCTTTGGTTACATGCGTTTAAATATACGTTTAGAACAACGATTTTTTTTCTCGCTTTTAATATTACATTTATCGTTTTGCCATTGGATCACCTGAGTTTGATTTTATGTCGTTCGATTTGAGGTTACAATCTTGCTTTGCTCAAGTGATCGAGATTCGGGATGATTGCCTGGAACAGTCGTATCTGCAACAATTGAAATAAAACAAAATTTTTCAAGCACAAATCACGCATACATTTTGGTAAAAAAATCAAATAAAATAGTGTCAAAGCATTTTGAAAGAGTATTTCTACGTTTCGTTTAATATTTTATAGAAAAACTTTTGATGAGAGTTGTATTGTAAGTAGTAACGAAAAATAATATTCTGATGAAAATAAGACAAATTAAATTTTTCAGAAAAAATTTTACTCTTAAGTGATTGATAAATTTTATAATCATTGTGCCCATTTCCGTCAAATGCAGTGATGTAAAAAAAAACATAAAATATTTGTTAATCTTTGTGAGTTATTCTACTAAAAAAATGCAATTTCGTCAGCAAAGTTTAGCAATCTGATCGTATATTACTGCTAGCTTTTTCATAATTCTCATTCAAGTAATAAGAGTTTTCTCACTTATCAAAAATATTTATGTATATTTGAATGACGTAAGATCTTTGCCACATTCCCTATTTTCTTTCTCGTAAGTTGTCAAAGACCCCCAAAGAAAAAAAGTTGCATTCTAAATTACAGACTCAGCGATTTTTTTCTGGTTGGATAAAATTTTGTTTCTGGTTACATGCACACAAAAATAATTGATTGCAATTGATGAAGTTATGTGACGAAGATTACCCAAGCTGTTTTTTCGTTCTAGTTGTACGTATTGATATAATTTCTAGAACACAATAGTAATCTATGTAAGCAAACTTATAAATAAACTATGTACATCTTTGTTTAAAAAGTTAGTCAGCCATTAGCTAATTTTGAAACATCTGACGTTTGAGAATAGTAATAGTTATTTACGTAACAAGTGCGGAAAAGACGATTTCCCGTACGAGTCGTGATTGACTCACACGAGTGGCCGGAGTTGACGGGAACAAATACCAGTTGAGCACACGAGTGCGTAGCACGAGTGTGGTCGCACGGCACGAGTTACCGTTACCGGCCACGAGTGCGAGTCTATCACACGAGTGCGGGAAATCGTCCCGCACGAGTTGCGTACAAGTTTTTTCGCAATGTGTGATAAAAATAGGAACAAAATAGGTGTGAATTTTGATTACCAGTGTGTACCAAAATTTTTTCCGGTGTGTGGCAAAACCTTTTCCGTACACCTTTTCCGCACACTGTGCGGCAAAAACCTTTGCCGCACACCTTTGTCGCACACTTTGTGGGAAAATCGATTTTCCACACTAATACCAGTGCGGAAAACACCCATTTTCTTCACACTATTGCGAAATAGTAGTTTTCCTACGAGTTTGAAAAGTCTCTGTTTGCGAACCGAGAGGTTTGCGGCCCGAGCCGAAGGCGAGAGACGTAACAAGGTTCGTGAAGGAGACTTTTCGAACGAGTTCCGGAAAACTGCTTTTTCGCCCGAGGAAGTACCAGCCTCCCAAAACCACCCGAGGGCAGAAATAGTAGTTTTCCTACGAGTTTGAAAAGTCTCTGTTTGCGAACCGAGAGGTTTGCGGCCCGAGCCGAAGGCGAGGGACGTAACGAGGTTCGTAAAGGAGACTTTTCGAACGAGTTCCGGAAAACTGCTTTTTCGCCCGAGGAAGTACCAGCCTCCCAAAACCACCCGAGGGCGGAAATTAGTAGTTTTCCTACGAGTTTGAAAAGTCTTTGTTTGCGAACCGAGAGGTTTGCGGCCCGAGCCGAAGGCGAGGGACGTAACGAGGTTCGTGAAGGAGACTTTTTGAACGAGTTCCGGAAAACTGCTTTTTTGCCCGAGGAAGTACCAGCCTCCCTAAACCACCCGAGGGCGGAAAAATTAATTATATAGGTCTTCATGAGGGCCGTCCAAAACAAAAAATTGTGTACGACCTAAACGTCGACAAGCAAAGTCGCTTTTATTTAGAACCAATTCAGTTTGTTCAAGTATTAATTATTTAAAACGTTCTAAAAAAAAAAAAAAAATAACAATAAAACATCTTTTAAAGCCAGAAGAATTATCTGCAAATCGAAGTGTGTCATTTCAACCCACATAATAGTGTAATTTTCTTCAACTCATTTTATTCACTTTTATGTGGGCAATTTTACACTTTTTAAGTGTATATTTGTGATTTACACACTTAAGAAGAGTTGTTTCAACACATTTTAATAAGTGCGTGAAAACAACGCTTTTGAAGTGTGTAAATAATGAGTATACATTATAGAAGTGTAAAATTACCAACATAAAAGCGGGTAAAAAGTGTTAGAGAAACAAACCCACTTAAGTCGATTGAAATTACACATTTGGATTTGCAGTGTATAATGCACAAGATATCAGAAAAATATAGGAACATATACCTTGCCACGACGAGGACTCGCTCGCGCTGTCGTCGCCGTCGTTGCCACGATCATCGGTATCATCAGGCTCGGCTCGCTGTGCCCCGTCACTGCAGCTCAAGATAACCACCGGTGGTCCACCGTCCCCGTACCCCGGTCCGTCGAGCCGCACGAGTTCAATGCGCTCAACAGCGCCCTCGTCGTCCGAGGCCGCGGCAACAGTGAGCTCGCGTCGCTCGTTTTTGTCATCGTCGTCGTCGTCGCACGTAACGACGCCTCCAAACGAGACCCGACGCTCCCGGGGCTGTTCCACCGTCAGGTGTTCCAGCGTCTTGTCGCTGCAGTCGGTAATTTCCTGCTGGCCGGCCGCCGGCTGTTGGGCCGCGACCATCTGCAGGAGATTCAGGGCGAGGCACTGCGCGCCGAGCCCGACGTGCTATGGTCATCTGCTGCCCCCAGCTGGGTCTGATGCCCCGGATCCGTAGTTGACGGCATCCGAGCCCGAGCCGCAGTGCTCCGGGTCGGAGTCCTCGATCGAAAGGCCCGGCGCCGGGCCGCGTCCCGCTCGACCGGGGCTCCGTTCGCTCCTGTAAAACGAAATCTACAAAGTCCTCCACTTCAATCCTCGGCTCGATTGGACCACCAGCTCTCTCATCTCCGTGCTCTCGCACATTCATCAGCCATCGATGCTGGACGACAACTTCAGCCTTTTAGCGGGTTACACACAGATAAATATGTATATGTGGCGATGCTTGTGTGCTGGGAAACATCTATAGAGGTATAGCGTGTAGAAGAAGTGGTACCAGAGAGTTGGAATTTTCTCGACAACCAACAAATGGCTGCCGCCGGTTTGACGTGGTTTAGAGGGAGAAAATACAACAGGGGTGGCGTTTAATTGAGATTGTTTTATTTCCTTTGATGGAAAGGTGCTTTATCGATTATACCATCACAATCACTGCACTGCAAATTTAAGTGTGTTACTTCGACCCGCTTAAGTGTTTAATTTTCTTTAACGATTTTTACTCTCTTTCAAATGGGTAATTTTACACTTTTTCAAAGTGTGTATTCATCATTTACACACTTTCAAAGGGTTGTTAGATACACACTATACAAGTGTTAAACTACCCACATACAAGTATGAGTTAAAATTTTTGCAGAAAATTACACACTTATGTGGGTTGAAATTAGACACTTCGATTTGTAATTTGGATATATTTTAATGCCGGGCCGAGTTGATGTGCATCAACAATTTAGATTTTCTTTAGTTTTTTTATATGAAGGATAGTATCGGTTTCGTGACTTCTTCATCAGCCTGATAAGCCATTTCGAGGATGAAAAACAAATAATGATAATCCCCTCGGAATTGAAGTTCAGTAAGTATCTCGTCATCTGTTCAACTTTTTTTGATCAAACAAAGCAATACAAAAATTTGTAAATTCTAATTATTATCAAAATATACGAGAAGATATACAAAGCGGTGTTCGCAAATTGGGGTACGTGTTGAGAAACTTTAAAAAAAAATGTCTTCATCGCAAGTGACTCTGTACGTTTTGGGTGGTAAGAGGAGCTCGGAAAGTAATGTGTCCTGTACGCTGTCACGAAAAATGTACGTACGCATCTCACTTTGCACAGTAACTCAATTATCGTACGCTCACCAGAAAAACCCAACGCACTGATTAATTAATCAAGTTTGTCTAAACATTAGGAACGTGTTGTTTTACAACATTAATTAAATTGCTCAATTAAGTGATAAGTCATCAGGTTTAAGGTAAATTTGGATGCACAAGCTCACCAATGTCTTACTCTTAAATTGTCAGCCAATTGCGAATGAACGAATTAAGTATCGAACTCAGTGTTTCCTTTGAGAACTATAGTTAGACAGATGTGTAAATTATATTTGGTCAATGTAGTGCGGGAGCCAGGTGGGTTCCCGTGGCTTTTTCCATTAAAATGGTCCCATCTAAGTTTTTTTCATATATTTTGACCTGCTGAACACGATTTTCGATGGTGGCTTGCTGTAAAATTTGCACATCAATAGTTATTAACAAATTTTATAAACAAATTAAAAAATTATAAAATTTCGGTAAAAAAAAATGTATTCGTATTCTTTGGCACAGTTTAAGCAAAAAAGCATTTTTATTTACTACATTAACCAAAAATTTTTCGGCATTTATTAAACTATCATGTAATACTGATTCGGAATGATCTAAAAAATTATTTTTATTTTACGTATGCAGACCATGGGTAGCATAGCAAGAAGCTCGCGATTCAAAGCTTATTATTGAGAGACAAATTTTTTTTTACCAGTCTGAAGTTTACGTATTCTCAAAGTGCAATGTTCAACGAAACTTTAACGCCTTGCAGAGTTGCAAAAAGTTTTTTAACAATCGAAATATTAACGGTTGAAAATCGCAAAATTCAAATTTTTCAAAAGTTTGCGAATTTTTTACTAAAAAAGTATAACGTTTAGAGAAAAATTGCAAGAGATATTTTTTGCTTAAAATGTGCCAAAGAATACGAATACATTTTTTTTTACCGAAGTTTTATAATTTTTTAATTTGTTTATAAAGTTTGTTAATAACTATTGATGTGCAAATTTTACAGCAAGCCACCATCGAAAATCGTGTTCAGCAGGTCAAAGTATATAAAAAAAACTTAGGTGGGACCATTTTAATGGAAAAGGCCACGGGAACCCACCTGGCTCCCGCACTAATACCCCAAAATAGTAAATACCAAAATTAAGTTTCTTAAAAATTCGCTGTATTGCATTCTTGGATATTGCTGAAAAAAAAAAAAAATTTGACAGATTATTTCAACCTGTATTAATTTTTGAAAATTTCAATTTTTCAAATCTTAGTTAACTTTGAAAACATTTCGGGGAGTCTTGTAAGGAATTTTAGTAAGTATTTAATGTGTGAAAATTTATGAGCGACAAAAAAAAATACATGTGGAAACAAATGTTTTCATATCAATAATGGTTTCTTATTTTTTAAACACATAATATTATTTTAAAATTGTGATAATCTAATTCAAAATACTTGAAAAACTATTAGTTACTTTGAAAAACTATCTAAAAATTAATTAATCAATATTCAATTAGCGAATATGAACAAATTTTTTTTTATGCATTTAAAATTATCTAATAAAAAGATTTTAATTTCTAGCTTGACTGATTCTTTTTTATCGGGCCTTTTTTTTCACAAAATCACCAAAGTAAGAGGCTAAACATCTTTTATTGTAAATCTACCGTTTAAAATGTATGAGACATTTACTTGTCCTCAAGACAAACTGTACAAGTATATGCATTTATCTTGATTGTTTCTAAAAAAATTATGACAGTCTAAACACGAGACTAAGTAATATCACACGATTATTGTACCGGAGTTTTTACTTGGAAAGTGTTGATGAGAAGAATTCGAAATTCAAATTTTGCATACTTGCCTTCTTTATGTACAAAATAAATGATCCCATCTTTCAATGAATAGTAGTGATAATAATAATATAAAAGTAATTAAAAAAAATAATAATAATAAAAATAATAATAAAAATAATGGTAATAACAATAATAATCATGAAATTTATTGTGCCCAGTTGTCTATGCTCGATTTATTGATGTGAAAAAATGTATCTTTGCTTGATCAAAAAAGTTTTTAGAAAAGGCAAGATAAGGATTAAAATATTATTTTAGGAGGCTGTTATTACCCTTGGTATTCAAGAGATGGAAAAATAAGCGTTTGATGTGTTTCTTAATCCTTTAAATTCAAGGCAATAAGTAAAGGTGGTCAATTCAGTAGTACTTCTTATTTTGATGTAAATGTCACAATTATTTCCCTTTTTCACAACAAGTATGAGAAGATACCACAAATACGAAATAATGGAAATGGGTTACTATTGTGTTGTTCTTTTTTTTTACCACGAATGTTGTGTGAAGACATCGATCTACCGCGAAAGGCGTTTTTTGTAAGAAAACATTACGAGTATGACACATTTTTCCTGTCACGTTAGAGTAACCGCGTCGTAATGATATAAAAGATGTCTGTTTGAGTTTGCACGTAGCCGCAAAAGCTTTTAAGAATCAATTTGAAGGACACGCGTGACGAAAGCAGATACGTAGTTACATCGTCGCTGCAATGATAAAAAAGTAAAAGTCGAGGAAGCTTGTGATGTTTTCAGTATTTTTCAAAATAGCAAAAGATTGAAAGTTTATTTGCACATTCATAAATCACATCGATTTGTTTTACACAACAAATTATGATATTTCGCGTGATGGAATTTTAAAACAATGCATCATAAATTGCGTGTCCAGAAAAATCATACATCAGGTACATTAACGAATTGCGTGGATTTTATGTAAAATTTGAGAAATAAATACACACCATAGGACCATATTGTAAACGATGAACACTACATGCGTTAAACACCACGTGAAATCTTAAAAAGCATTAAAATTTGGAATATGCCACCATTAAAAAAAGAGACAATAATGAAATCGAAATTCATTTTGATGTTACATCGAATGTTTATATCAATTACAAAGTGTATATTTACATACTGATAAAGTACAACTAGAAAGCATCAAATGACACAGAAAATAAAAACGTTTATTCACACCAAGTGGAATGAAACACATCGAATAAGGCACGATGAAGCCAATCATACCAATACGATGTAATTTTACCATTAAAAACAATACATTCCTTTTTCAATTCATAAATACCCATAAAAACGACATCAACAGCAACGAGAACAACGACATCGATAAAAACAACGAGAAGAAGAAAAACGCAGGCCAACGCAGATAATCTATGTAATATCGGCGCCCGAGACAAGGAACATCTATTTTTTTTTTTTTTTTCTTCAAGTATTTTTTGTTATTTTGCGGAAAAAAGTACCGTTTTCAACTTTATCGATAAAATTATAGGATTTTTTTTTTTAAATCTCTAGCACTATAGCAGAATTACGCGAACGAATGAGTAAATCATGACTGCGAGATAAGTATTTTCATATTTTTACTCACATTACGAGCCATTAAATTCACTCGAGACACATGCGTGTTATTCTTGAGATTAACTTGGCGCAAGAAATGAGGTAATTTCCTCGAAAAGGAATAAACAGCAAAAAAAAAAAACAAAAGCAAGGTGTTCCTCATCCGAAGGGTCAAACGATACACATGAGCATAATATTACGATGACGCAAGCATTACCTCATGGCTAGTTGGCTGCCGTCGCTGCCCCTGCGCAGCGTATTCGCGCGCTGCTTGCAGAGACAGTTGCAGATGATCTTCTTGAACGCGAAGCGAAAGTCCTTGCTGAAGAGGGCGTAGATGCAAGGGTTGATGGCCGAGTTGCAGTAGCCCAGCCAAAAAAGTACGCTGAACACCGTCGGGTGGATGCAGTCCGGGCAGAAGGCTCGCACCAGGTACATCGTGAAAAATGGCATCCAGCAGAGGATGAAGCCGCCCACTATTATCGCTAGCGTCTTTGCGGCCTTTGTCTCCATCCGGATGCGTTTTACCTGTTTTTTTTTTTTTTTTTCCAGTTCATTCAATTCATCGTACTTTATTTTTTATCTTATATATTTGGAGGGTGCACAGCGTTACTTGGTATGGAAGGATGGAGGAGTTGTTGAATGATGGCTGAATTTCGGCTTCTTGTTAAAATACTCATTTCTAGCTTTCTTTGCATACTATTCAATTTTTTACAATCATGCAGAATATTTGCTTTTTTTTACCATACCGAAATTAAGCTGTGGTACATCAGTCAGATGTACAAAAATATATCATACTAGATTCCTTACAATATGTTTAAACCTCACTATAATAGCAGATAGTATTTTTAATTGTTTTATTACTTAAAGCTGTACTGCTCTACGATAATAGTACGTGGTATGTGATTTATTAAATGGATTCTCTTGCACTTGAATATTTGATGCAACATATCATCAGTATGGAATATTCAATGATTGAGTTATCAAAGCCACAATTTCATCGTGCACAAAGGCTCATATAGAGACATAACTATAAAATATCAAAGGCCATAAACTTAAAAAAAATGACACAAAGTTGAAGAAATGGTGACTGAGATCAAGTGAACGAACTCAGAGACAACGAGTCTCATAGTCGGAGGTAGGCAAGGTCTCAAATTATTTTTAATTCAAACAAAAAAGACAATACATCTGTAAGTCACTCTACCATTTCTTTAATCCTTAATTTGATCAACAACTGCACTTTAACAGGATTTCGTGCGTATAAAGTAATTGAAATCAAACAGTAGTAGTCGAAGTTTCATGTAGTAATATATACATGCACACAAATAAACAGCTTATTCAAAATACCAAGAAAGCATTGTCATTAACCTTTTTTCAACAAACGTTAAACATTGTATCTATATTAGTTCCACATTGTTTTATTTTATATTATTTATTTTAAAGTAATTTCAACCGATTTTAAGACACGAGAAAAAAAACTACATTAACATTACTCATCTCCATAGTTATTAATCAATTTTTCATCAAAGTTTCAATCAAGTTTGTCACGGACCATTTTAAAATCGCACTTTCAATGAATCCAATGAACACAACAAGATAGACGTTCTCCGTAATTGTAGCCAACGAGTTGAAATAAAAAGTCGTGGCGACATTGAGTTTCGTAATCAACAATAGAATCATTGGATCGTCGTTCAAATCTCACGGTAGTCAAAATTTAATTATCAAAGAACTTATTTTATTTTCAATACGACGATAGCTACATGCACTATGGCGTAATAAGGTATTAAAGAATTAAATCATTATTTTCTTTTTTTTTGTTTTATACAAAGTTAAGTTGATGTATTTGACTTAATAAACTTATACTTTAAAATGAACATCCGACCAAACGGTACCTTTTATAAAATAACTTGCGCCAGAATTTTTTCCTTTATTTGTAAAAATCTTGCAAGCTTAAAAATGTTGAAAATTTTTGGTTTTCCTTTCCGAACACAATTTGAATTTTCTTATGTTGCAGAAAACTTCTTTTTTCTACCTTGAGCGTTTTTGAGAGGCTGGTGTGCTCCCGGTAGGAAAAATGGTATTCGCCACATAAGCTCCACCCCTCCGGGGCAACCTTACGAACCCTCGGCCGCAAAATAGCCCCAGAGGCGATGGCGCTTATCCGACGAAAACTACCATTTCTTCATCTGCGACTGACTCGAATAAATTATTATAGATCTAGTTTGGTATTGCACGATAGACAATTATACAATGAAACTTTGATTGAAGCCTAACTTTGATGTAACGATTAGAAGTCATTTAACGACTTGTTATATATATACAGAACAAGATTTTCTTCTAAAGTAATTGAATTGATGTATATCCATTTCTTTATTTTTGATTATACTATGGACCACTGAAAATATTAGATTGATGTTTATGAATGATAATATTTCAAACAAATCGTTGCTTTCGACAATTAGAAAGAAAACAACCCTCCATGTAAGCTCTTGGGAATATTGATATACGTATTCGAAACAATTATCCAGTGGACCCGATCGTTTTGCACATACACTTATTTTCACGCTCGATATACAAGGACACGTTCCATAAAGTCACTATCTGCTCTCGATCCTCAAGCAATCTCACAAATAATCTCCCACGGCCCACGTGCCGTAAAAAAAGTCAGTCTCATCAGCAATAAACGACACACTCACACACAAACAACCCCCAGCCCTCCACCCCCCAAAAAAAGTTGGCTCGTGAGGTCAACGAAAGGAAGAAGAAGAAAAAATGGCACCTCTTACCTGAGCCTTGATGTTTCGCTTGCCCATCTTCATGACGCGGGGCTTCTCGTCACCGCTGCCGGGCGTCGTCGTCCCCGAGGTCAGCTCCCGGAGCGAGAGCGCGTCCCCGGCCACTTGGCTCTCGCAGCTGCCCCGCCGACTCGGCCGCCTCGAGCTCCCAGCTCTGCTGACTCCACCGACCTGAAGCACCCACAGCTCGAATCAAAAACTACTTCTCGAGCCGCACATGCTCCCACTCGGTGTATTAGGATCCCAAAATGTCACGTGATTTTCGGGGGAAATTAACACAGGCCTCATATATACACATATGTTTTTTTCACGCCTACAACAATTGTAACGCTGTGAAAGCTGGCAAATAATACGTTTTCGGGGGAATTTCAACTAATTTGTCTCCCCAAGTCAACCGTTACGTGAAGCTTAAACCTAAAAAAACCTATAAATAGCTAAAACCTTACTTTGAAACCCACATTTAACTTATAATACCAAAGTCCTGTTAATATGTATATATACTTATATTTATTTCACCATGCAATGCTCCTCGTGAAGGGATGGGCGACCTTCTCGCAGAAAATGGCCTACCACATAGATCCTTCGCTCTCGAGGTTGGTTTATGTGACATCATCACCGTAACAACAAACTACAAAGTGTATCCAATAATGTATAAATATGTAACGAATATAATGTAAAATGTGCCTTATTTGTACCAAGGCTATATTATGTACTCGATTACAATAAAGCCTGAAGAATAAATACACTATGATAGTAGGTATTTATTAAAAAAAAAAAAAAAAAAAAAAACTTATATTTATATAGCAAGCATCAGAGGAGATTTGTACAGTTTAAGTGTGCGTTTCTCACTTTCGAGGTAAAATTTTAAGCTTCATGTAATGATTGAGTTGGAAAAAAAAAAGTTTCAATTCTCTCGAAAACGTGTTATTTGACAGTTTTCATGGCGTTGCAATCGTTATAGGCGTAAAAAAAAACAAATGTATCCCTTGTAAAAGGCCTGTGTTAATTTCCCCCGAAAATCACGTGACGTTTTGGGATCGCAATAAGATGCACCATAGTCTCGTTATTCCTCAAAGCTCGTCGACGAGATGTCGCCGTTCCACCCTCCTTCTCTCGATCAATTGAATTATGGAGGAGACGCGCGAGGGTCAAAGGGGGGAGGAATAAGGAAGAGGAAGTACCCGCGCGGCGCTTTCGGCCGGGGTGGCATTAGCGTCGATTCAGCGAAAAAATATATCAGCGATCCATTTTTCGCCCCCTCCCCCTCGCATTAGTGCGGAAGGCCGCGAGATAAAGCCGATTCAATAAATATACGTGTCCAGTGGTGGTCGGTTCCACGTTTTTCGGCGGTTATCCTCGGGGCGATCGTCATACGGTTCGCCCCTGCCCGTGGATACGACGCTTCGACTGTTTGCCCCGTACCCCCCATTTTTTTCGAGATGTAATTTTACTTTGTTTTGTCAATATGGCTTTTGCAATATTGTTTATCCCACAAACTTCTAAGCTCTTCATTTTTGACAAAAGTCACGCTCGTGTGTGGCGGACATATCGATATTAGAATTTAAAAAAATAATGTATGGTCCAAACTACGGTGAACTAAGTCAATAGTTTGATTTAAATGTACTCTCATATTTGTTTATTGTTAATCCAAAGTCTTGATCCATTGTTAAGTAATTCTTTGTATGGGTATATTTTTATGCACGTAGAGGAAAAAAAAAATCGATGCCATAAGATATGTCGATAATTTGTTTTGTGACAGCGTAATTGAAAATTTTCGTCCGGATTTTTTATTAGATAATATTCAATTAGTTTTGTATCAGCAAACGGAATATGGAGAAAAAAATATGGATTTTTGTTTTTTCTTAGTGGTTACAAGCGTTAATGTTGGGCAGTGAGGATGTGCATACTGGGAAAAAAACATCCCAAATATTCAACTGTACTTATCAAGGACATTTACCTGCAAATCAATTATTTTAGCAATTCATTTAAATTTTAATTACAAGTATTTTTTGTGTCCTTTGTACTAAATACGCGTTTTCAGTGTCCAAGTAACATTTCATTTGAAGCTATTTACCTATCTTAACATTTTAACGCATAAAGTCCACGAAAATTTGTCATTAGTAAATGTATTTGACTATACCATGTGGAATTATCTCTGGATTTTTCGGAGACCTAAGTTGGTTTTTGAAATTCTAAAATTGTATAGTAATACGAACCTATCAAACAAATAATTTAAAAAATACTAAAATAAACACTTAAAATTTAGTCTCATCTGCTTAGACATTTACTTAAATGTTGTTTGTATTTTCATACTTCTGTACCATCGGTATTAAAGAATCATCATTTTTATGTCTTGAACAATAATTGAAATAAATGTTTTATATCACCATTTTATGTACACTAATATAATAACTGCACATACTTCAACTTATCAAAATTTAGTTTTACAAAACTTTTGCGGGAAAATTAATTTTCTAACCGGAATTTAATCGCGAAAGGTTTGTACTTATAAGTCCAATCTCAGGAGGTAATGGAAGAGTCTTAACAATCGAACTTTCGATCCGAGAAGGTCAGAGTAATTTAAAGTTACTTCAGAAATTCCACTGAAAGGAATTAATCTCGAAAATGAAAGATAAGGCTCAGGTTCCAATTTTAGATGCACGAAATTAGAAAATTTTTTTTAAGCTTAGAAAATTTAGATGCAAAATTTGGAAAGTAAACTGATTCTTTTTTTTAACGTTTATTTAGTGGGTGCTCTAGTATTTCCATCAAAAGCCAGAGACAGATATACGTAAATCCGAAGATGTTTTTCTTTCTCTGAACTTTTTTGTTCATTTCATTGTCGGAAATTTGTTCCTATGCGTTACATAAAAATGTAATCGAAAATTAATTAAAATTAGTGGATAATTGCACGGTCTATTTTTGCGACTGCGAAATACCCAAACAGTCCGTAATTGCACACTGCAAATCACAGCGTGTTATTTCAACCTACTTAAGTGTGTCATTTTCTCTAACACTTTATGTGGACAATTTTACACTTCTTAAGCGTGCATTTATTTTATTCACATTTATTGTTCACACCTTGAAGAAGCGTGGTTTTAATACCCTTTATGTGTGGGAATGGTAATTTCACACTCATAAGGTGTAAAATTACGTGCATAAAAGTGCGTAAAAACTCTGCAAATTAGAGTATGTAATTTCAACCCGCTCAAGAGTGTTCATTTCTAAAACACTTTCTATTTACTCTTGAAAGGGTAATTAAACACTTGTATATAATTTTACTATGGTGTATTGATAATTTATTCACTTCAAAGAGTTGCTCCAACCCATTTTGTGAGTGTAAATGATAAATATACATTTAAAAACCGGTAAAATTACCCACATAAAAGTGAGTAAAAAAGTGTTACAGAAAATCACACACTCAAGTGGGTCGAAGTAACACACTTATATTTGCAGTGTTGACGTATTAAAGCACTCCCCATGTGGTTGAAAATTCTCACCTTCAAGTAGGCAGTTCTGGAGGACGCGGACAGCTGGCTCTGGGTCTGTCCGTTCGCGTAGTGCACCGACACCTGGGAGCACTTGGAGGGCGTCCTCTCGAGCATGTTGTTGCACTTTGTGCTGAGCGTCTCGGTGCTGGGATACGAGACCGAGATTTTGATGCGATCGCGCCGCGACGGGCTCCGCGTCGTCGTCGTCGTCATCGTCGTCGTGCTGCTCGTGCAGTCGCTACTGCGGGGACTGCCGTTGCTACCACCACCACCCCCACCACCGTTGTGCTCGCTCGATCGGCCCCGGTGTATCCTCAGGGTGAGGCGTTGGTCGTCGAATCTAGGGGCAATGGGGCGGTGATAGTTGTAAGTGTATACGTGACTTGGCAGTTTTTGTTTTGGTAATTCTTTTTTATTTTATTTTTTTTTTTGTCACTCCTTCGGTAAAAATTATTTTACGTATACTAAAGAACACTTCAACAGGTCATTTTAGGTTTGGCAAAAGTTTTTTCGAACCATAGCTTCGATGAGTTTGTTTTAAGAATTCTAATAACCCATTTCCATGGTTCTACTCGCAAGCTTTTCCAGTTTATGACTCACAGCATAAAAGTCACTTGTTCGAAAGATGCTGTGAAGGCATTTTCTTTTAGCTTTTCAATGAAACGAAAGCGTTTTCGTGCAAGATAATTATTGAAATTTGAAATCTGGAGAAGTTACTTGTCGCGAGTTTCTTTCTTTTCGTTGAATAATAAATGGTTTGCAGTATTGGTCGATCAATACTCGATTTTTTTTGTACTTCGAGATCGAAATAATATTCCACCAAAACATTTAGATTATTGCGTCATAGCACAGCACATACCTTGTCGAGTAACTATGCACAAAGATTTTCCCTACTTGTTTTATTGAAAGTATCTTTGAATCAATAACTATCCCACCCAAACGAAATACCAAATACTAATAGAAATAAAGTTATTAAATTAATTCTTATTAGTAGTGGTATAAGCGTGAACAATTTTTTTGTTTTGTTTAAATCATGATAGGTTTATCAAAAGGAAGAAATAGAAACGTGTATCTCTGGCAAAAAATCTCTAATTCTAGCTACAAGGCAAAGAAAATTATTCATGTGGAAGGAGCAAGGGAGAAAGAAGAGCAAAAATCATTCAAGCCGGAAGCTTAAACGCTAAATGTTTTATCGTTTTATGAATCTAATGAAGACTAATGGTTGGCGAGAAAAAAAAAAACAGTATTTTTTTTCTCCACGCGGCGCATCTATTCGGTTATCCTTCTTAAAGAGCTGCCGAGCGATATGCTCATATCCACGGGGATAATGTTGTACATGGCAAAGCTCACGTAGTTAATCACGTGTTTTGTTTTTGCTTGCGTATCAGTCACATTATTTTTACTGTCATATGGATATAAAAAAAATTGGTACTAATGACACACACTGAAGGAAGAAATAAAAATTAATGTTCTAGCTCTATGAACTGTGCTACTCAGACGTCTTTTTACTATTTGCACACGATTTTTTACTTCTCGGCAATGTAATTATTACCGTTAGCGCAGTAATTTTTACTGCTTTCTCAGTACAAATTACTAGTGGTAGCACAGTAGTTTTATTAAATTTTTCTCTCGATAATTATTTCTAATTTTTATTTGTTGTCACTTTTTTTCACATTGATCTAAAACTATTTACAAGCTTCAACAACGATTTAGGTACACTAAAGCTTGACAAAAGATTGTTGTAGATTTCACTATTTTCTTGGAAGAAAATTTGAGAAAAAAAAAAATAATTTGCAGCCCTTAAACTTGCATTATTACCAACTAATAAATTAACAGTAGATCAAACATAAATATTGATGTACATAAATAGTTTGTCACTTGGTGAAAAATATGACATCTCGACTTTGTGATGTAAAAAGAGTTAACTGAAACGATTTGAAAAAAGGACTAATTCGAGTTTTCAAGCAGGGAGGAAAAACTTGGCTTGTCAATAAAATTCATACTGTTGTGTCAGTTGAAAAAAAAATCGTAGAAAAACAAATTATTTGAAAGTGTAACTTGTTATTTACGAATACTGGTAAAAAAAAAAAAAAAAGTTAGAAACGTGCCAAAAGATGTGTGATTTCTTTATTGATGCTACAGCTTATTTCCGAAAATGTTAAACGTCTATTACCGTCTTTAATTAAACAATCTGTAGTTTCCTTACAATTTAGAGCTCAGTTGTCTCCTTTATCTCTGAAAACCCGAACTGTCTTTTTTCCCTTTAATCGAGCTGACCTCATTTATATCACAGAGCCGAGTTGACTTAGTTCATGTCATGGAACTAAATTGTCCTTTTCTTCTCCCCAAGCTACGAATCGTCCGAAAAATTATCTGTTACTTATCTCGACACCTGAGTAAAAGAAGCTGCAAGTTCAGATTTTGAGATGAAAAACGCTTGCTTAAATCTTTCGGTTGAAAGTAATGAGTTCTCGCACTATTTTCTTTCTTTTTTTTTTAGTGTCATTACTGCCATGTAATGACCAAAATTTTTTAAGCAGTTTCATATTTGATTGTAAAATACATCCATCATAATTAAAATGACTAAAGTGTTTTAAATATAAATTACTCTTTTATTACTTTTATGATTTCTTGAAAAAAAAAGTAAAAGAGTTTGATAACTTTTTAGAAATATATTTCAAACACTAAACATTTTATAAGGATAATATAAGAACAAATTAATTTGTTCGACTTTAGACCAAGCAAGATCAACTTTTTGTTGAAATCATGACTTAGTAATTTTTTTTTTCACTCTTTACTTTGAGCTTTGATAGCAAAGCCGTTAGGTATACGAGTATCACCGAAATATTGATTTTGGTGCTTGCATGGGTGGTGTATAATATAATATTTATATATGTTTATTATCAAACTTATTCTGTTTACATGATTGAGGTAGCGTATAAAGGGAGATCAGTTTTTATCATCTACGAACAGCGGAAAAGTCAGCTCGGGAGATTATTTAAAGTAAATTAAATATTTGAATTGCCTTGGCTACAAAGTTCTTAATTTTCATACCACATTTTATTTTTTGTTTGGCTGATTGCACGTATAAGTAAAAATAACCAAAAATTAACAAAAATTGATTTTTCGGCTACATAATTTACTAGATTTTAATAAATGAGGTGACATTAGAATTAACCTGCTTTTATCAGTATAACATAACACGTCCAATTTCTTACTTGATTTCAGTCGAAAATATTTAACGAATACATGAAGGCTAAATTACAGCTCGTATCAGTGGACTTGTATTATTTTGCAGCTTATGTCTCAGGTCTTACACTGAAAAAAAAAACAGTGAAAATTACTGTGCTAGAGTACAGTTATTTTTACTGCTTGTACAATAGAAATTACTCCCCAGGATGGTAAAAATTAGGTTGGCAAAAGTAAAAAGTCCTCAGACGGCGAAATGACAGTAGATTACCATTCTAGCACAGTTATTTTTATTATTTTTTCTCTCAGTGTACATACCATTACAAATTACACACATATTATTAGTTAAAACGTATAAAACAAAGTAAATCAATAAATAATAAAATAGCTAAAGGTAATATCCTAATTAATGTTATGTCTCTAATTTATTACGGATAGGAGCTTATTTTTCAGCTTTGATGTTGGGGATGAAAAGTGATTATAAGAGCGTACTTGGAGTTAATTTCTCTCTACGCAACGCATATAATTCGATTCATTGAATGTTTCGCTTCAATTTCCATTCAACTATTCATATGAACATCATTATCATCATTACCATGATGAACTCGCAGTCATCAATATCAAAGCTGCATGTCCGCCCCTGATGGATTATTCAAGATGATATTATCTTCTCAATTTAAAATTCCGGCTGTCTTATTTTTCCTTTTCGTTCATCCACTTTTTATAGCAGCTTGAACATTTATTTTTTACAACACTTTTTACCCAAATTGAAAACTTGCATCTTGGTTTCCGCAAGCGTTTGTACAATTGAAAAATATGTCAAAGACCGTAGGCGATGTCAAGCTAATTTACACTCAAATTTCGACGGGTTACACGTAGATTTTGTACCTCACGGTACTTTTTGTTTCGACGAGTCTGGTTGAAAATCTCATTTCTCGATGAACCCATCCAATCGCAAAAACACCGATACCTCGGGTACATTATCTTTCTCTGAGTAATGTCAACGTCAAACTTGGCTAACTGCGCGTGTCCGGATTCACAATTGCGTTAAAAGAAAGCGCAAATTTCCTGCTAATTAAATGCGAAGGAGTATTCGGTAAACAAGCGAATCGGCGTACAATCCCACGGTGCTGTTCCACGAAAAAAAGTTTCCGAAAGGAAAGTTCGCCGCGGGTAGGCGTAACGAACACGCGCGCGCGCTAACGGCATCACTGATGAGTCGCTGCGAATCGTCACCCACGAAAACTTTTCCCCAGAAAAGTTTGCTCGTTCTCATGTATGTGGTCGTGATGAGCGGACAAATGATTTTCCAATCAACCCGAATGCTCGCGCGCCCTTGATGGCGGACAAAATTTCGAAAATGCCATTTCGGAAACTTTGTTGCGTTTTACGAAAAAATCATAAACTGTAAAATGGGTTACAGTGCACGTTTAAAGTGTGTAGCTGAAATAATTGTTTTTTATAAAACACATTGTGGTGGCATTGGTAATAATTTTAAGGACAACCAAAGCTATGGTGCACAAAGTGGTTAATCAGTTCCATTAAATTAGATACTTTTTAATGGGAAAAACCAATGTAGGAAAGCTGTGGAGTGAAAAAACTTGACTGTCACAGATTTTACACGCTCACAAGTGTGTAAAATCTGTGACAGAAATGTTTCACTCATCTCTACCGCCTTCTCATGTCAATTGTTGACAAAAAAAATTGTTTAGATTAATCGAATAGGTAATACAGTTTACGTTTCCTTTAAAAGTTCATCAAGACTACAATAATGCACTTTATAAACAACAGATATTTCGATCACACGCTTCAAACGTGTACTTTAAGACACTTAAATTTCACAGTGCAGTAAAATTGTACAAACGTGTTAAAAACGCCTTTCACGACTAAAAATTCCATCCGTTTTTCTGAACGTCTTCATTCGGACGCAAAGGTAAGCCAATTATGTTTTTTGGTCATCCGGATAGTAACATCGAAAGCGTGAAATCAAGTTAGTTAAAAGTAATTTTCCGATTATTTTAATCAACTTTAATCGCACATAATCGTAAGCCCATTCCGAGCGGGTTACCCGTAAAGTAATTTTTGTACACCGAAAAGAACATTTTCCAACCATCTCGAGGCGTTGATATATGCCATAAAGACACCACGCGTTGTTCAGTCCAACCTACAGCCGACGTCCCCTGGCACGCGCGTGAAATCCCGATCGCGCCAGGCCGCGGAGTCAAAAGCTCTTCGAATCGAAAACGTGACCGGAGAGAGGCGTGCTCACTCGCGCATGATTGATATTGTGCACACAAAGGTGGGAACTTACCTCGAGCCGATCCCCTTGGAGCCCTTGGTCGTGCGGAAGCCTCGATTGATGGCCTTGGTGGTGGAGACAGCGGCGTGGTAGATCCTCCAGTAGAAGAACAGCATCACCAGGGTCGGGATGTAGAACGAGCCCAGCGCGCTGCACGCCGGCCGTACCGAGAAGAAAAAAGACAACTATGTAGTTATAACGTGCACGCAGAAATGTTGTATGGCGCGGAATAAAATGGTGGGGTAAAAGTTTATATAGGTGGTAGATGCGAAGGGGAATAGGGCCAGCTTGGGCTTTCACGCGCAACAGGTGAAAGAGAGCTTTTAAAGCTCCACTACGCGTGGGCGTGTGCGTGTAGGCGAAACTTGGCTGGGGAGCGGGTGCACGCCAATTAGCCAGCCCTCCCACGCTGGGTAAGTTTTTTGCGAGTCCTTTGGGATGTGTGCGCTCGCTCTATATATCTCTCTCTGCGTGTATTGTATGCGCGTTTTTTTTTTCAGTATTGTACAAGCGATCCTGGGTCGGTTCAACGAATAATCGAATGGCCAGCTTTTCTCTTGTCTTACTATATACGAGGTTCTGTGTTTTAGGAGCATCTTTTTTTTCTACCTTTTTTTTTAAATATTTTGCGTGAGAAACAATCAAAAAATCCAATTCAAGTGACCAAAACTTGTATATTGAGAGCGTTTGATTGTCGAATTGTGTAATGTGGGAAAATGTAAATAAAATTATTCTAATACAAGTTAACACCAGTAAGATGTTTTGATGCAAATTATGTTCCATTTCTATCGGTCGAACTCTTGTTTTATCGAAAATTTAAAATAATTATCAGCATGTATCGATAGTATTGAGTAGCTTTAACAAAGTAGCCATAACTTGCCAAAACTGGTAAGGCAAAAAGCACCTCCGTTCTATCCCATGAGCTTCTTTGTCTGTATATATATACTCTTTTTTTTAATGTTTTATGTAAGTCGTTTTTTTACGCTACGGATTTTAAGATACAAAATACGTATTATCCCATTAGACTCAATTGCCTGAAATTTAAAACATCAATGTTTTTTTCCACGAGCGCCCCAGGTCCGCAAATATTTTAGCTGGTACATTTTTGGATGAACAATCATTTAAGTGTAAAGTTTAATCGATACGTTGTAAGTATAATCAATCGATGTAGTACATTACTACGTTAAATGGGAAGTTATTTGTATACTCATCGCTTTTTTGGAAATACTTAAAAATAATTTTTCATGTAATAATAACTACAAATGGACTGACAACTGATGTCACGAGTGTTCACCGTAATTATTCGGTAGAAAGTACTGGACTTTATATTTTTCTTCGGACTCATTTTGCGCTTCATTTATCATTGACTTTTTTAGCTAGACTAATTCTTGTGATTTATAGTCTTTAAAAAAATAGTGCTTCATACGAACATTACATTACGTTTTATAAATTAAAGTACGGAGACCACTTTGGGCTCATTTAATTTGGCTCCAAAAATGTTCAGGTACCTTATAGAAATATTACATTTACGGCTAAAGCTAAGTTTTAGAAGAAAATACGAATGATTTTGAACATCACGTTAACGTTGTCTATGTTTTCTGGTGCGCGAAAGATAATTAATACCTTCTAGTAGTTTCTCATTTTTCTTATTTTCCATATCTCACCCTTAATATACATACTTGGGTCCCTTACGGTGCTTTCAAAGGAATTTCAGTATTGCTTTTTTTTGAAAATGGCTCTTGTGGCTTATGTGAATTTCATAAAAAAAAAAAAAAAAAGAAAAGAAACACCATCGATTTCTCTTTTTCGTTTACTTTTCGTTCAATTTTTCGCAACGCTTGTTACTTTTAATTTCCAATAACGGACCTCCCGTGAATCTAAAGGTTAATGCCTTTTCACTTAGCGAGCTGCCTTTCATCTTTTAATTAACTCAGAGTAATAACATCACTTTCGACATCAAAAGAGCTTCCATTATTCATTGTACGGGACTTCTGCAGCGATTGGAGTCAAAATACAAGTTTCACGCTCAGTTTAATTGATTAATTTACAACAGAGTGTGGGGCGATATTTCATCATTTTGCGATACCTTATTGTTTAGGAGTTCCCGTAAAATTTGAAATTGAAAGGTATTATTTAGAACCAGTTTTGATGCAAGTGATTCTTTGTGCCACCTCCGAAAAATGTTTCAACGCATATTCTTGTCGCGCCAAAACTAGCGGGTAGATGTGTCAGATAATGACTTTATTTCCAGTTATCAAATAAATCCAAACTTTTTGATCATTCTCATATTTATTTTTCATACCACTGACGTTACAAATATACAGTTTGACTGATTCCATTTAGCTACTAGATACTATTACTTTCTCTAAGAATCGCTTTGGTATTCCTCGAGTACATCATTCAAGTTACACACCAAAGACCCCCCTTTCCCCCCACAAGAACTTTTCAATTATTCAACTCTGACGAGGGGCTGACTGGCAGGATAACGTTTCTCAATGAAATTATACGCCAACTCGTAACGCACCGCATTCGCCAACTGCTGCTGCAGTAGTTCTAATTAAAACAAAATTCCTCACCGCGGGGGGGCGTGGGGGGCTTCGGTTTCGCCGTGACAGTAACTCAGCTTAACTCGCACAGCCGTCGAGTATGGGTAGATGGGAGGTGATAAAAGCCCGCGTGGCGCGCGATAATCCCGCCGAGATCTTAAAGTAACGTGTTGCCAAGGGCAACCTGTACGGCCGTGCTATGTTCCGAGAAGAGAGTGTCGGGTCTTTCATGTGTGTAGGTGTGCGAGGTGTCGGCAAGCCATTTCCTCGTACATAAACGATGAGTTTTGAGCCTCGAGTGCTGCTTCTTGCTAACAAAAAGTGATGGAAGATATCGGCTGTGGAGAAACGTATTGTTTGACTTGTGTATTTTTCTTATGAAAATTATGCGTTCGGTAAAGAAAAACAACTGCGACTCTGCTTGGGAGTGCTTGTACATAAATTTGTTATAAGTTGTTATAGATTCTGCTGAGGAAAAACAATTTTTTTCGGAGGATGTAAACAGATTTAAACAGTAATAGAACAGAAAATGAGTCTTTTACTCTGTTATCAACATAACGTGACTACACGATGGAGTTTTCTCGTGAAAGAAATTGCTTCCTTTACTAAACGTTTTTACAGGGAATCCCCGTAATGGGAACAATAAGTCTGGCAGCATTTCCGTGGAACTCTTTGCAGGTTATATAAACGAAAAATATAAGGATGAAAAACATAACAATACTTTTGCAGGTTTCACATTAAATGGAAATTTTACATTACTTTTATCACTCTTTTCCCACAATCCTCTTGACTGTGGTTTCACTGGTAACTATATGTGACACTGAATGTTTTATCAGATGACAAAAAGTTCTACAAGATTTTACTTAATTCATTCCTATAATGATGGACTATTACCTAAACTAAGACGTATGAGTGTATCCCAAATGAAAACGTTTTTAATATCGAATGCATTTGTCCGTGACATTGAAGTATAACTTTTTTTTTAGTTCGCTCAATGTTCACGAGATGAGAAAACTGTTCTGGGTGTAAAATTTTGCAGGATACTTTCGTCCGCGCGTGGTCGAACGCTGGCATGCAAATTGCAGTTCGTGCGACCATGAAAAACTATTAGGTAAGTAGTACGAGTCACACCATCTGTAGCTTGAAGGCCCAATTTTGTTTCTGATCATCCGTGAGACAATGTTTCTTTTTTTCTCCCTTCTGTGTCATTTGCACCGATAGAAATATGCAATAATATTCATCGTGATTATCCCCACAAAAATTAGCGTGTTGTACGATGATCGCAGGATACAGTGACGTCTCGGAACTTAATTTTTACACCCAACCTAATGTTTACCCGTTTGAACATTAAAAATTTCGGTCAGCATGATACATTTGTCTTAGTACAGAAAAGCACAAGCTTGCATAAATTTGTTTCGAAAAAAATAGTGAAGTTCCACTTCATGAAACATTAAACACCACAGCTGCATCGTCAGTTCGAGAAAGTTCCTGGATACTGCCTCTCCTCGATCATTCGAAAATATAATTAATTTCCACAGTGATGTGAGGAGGATGTGCGAGGTTGGCGCGACTCAAGCGTCATGCAGGTAACCGCAGTAGAACAGGCATGGAACTGCTCAGACTGGCTTTCCTTGCTATGCACGGGGCGTACGTGCAAAAAGACCGCACGACGCGACCACGCGAGTAAGGAGCCGGGGGATCTTAATTAACGCTAATTAATGCTTGCTCGGGAGTTTGGGTGTACACACGTATGCGACTATCCTACGTGTACGGCATGTGTACGACTCGAGTCGTGAAGGCTCTCTGCACCCCCACCCTCTTGCTACCTACGCTCGTGTTAGACATTAACTTTCGTGCTTTTGTCCCATGTATCTTGCTTGTTGTGCTTCATTACTACTCACACCTGGTGTATTTTATAATTGGGGGATGTTCGTTGTTTCTCGAATTGATTTTAGTCTTACCACTCTGTTTATTAAAAGAAATTTCTCTAATTTTTACTGTTCTAACCATAATTTTTACTATTTAAGCTGTAATTTTTACCACTTGAAATAAGAACTTTTTCCTTTTTTTGTCACCTTGCATCCATTATACAGTGCAAAATGGTATTTTTTGCTGAACATTTTTATTATTATTATTTTTTCTCTCAGTGTGAGTACTAATCTTATTTATTTTAAATTGATTTCCATTTCAATTGTATTGGACGTATGATTAGGGATTTTTTATGATGTCGAAAATTTTTCCTCATTTTTAAACTACCAAACTTTGTTACGTACTACTAGAACTGAAGTCAAAATTTTTTTTAATCTGTCACCAAGGTATAAAAAGTCTTGCTCATACAACGAGGTTATTAATAGTTATTTTAATGTTGAGACTAGTGTTGATTTGAAAAATCGAATTTCACAGAATAGAAAATTTAGTTAACCTGCTAAACTTTTTACACCGCGTGGGAGTTTTAATTTTGTTCCAGCAAAGAATAGACTCCCTAATTCACACGTGTGGTGGGAGTCAAGCGTGTGCCAGTGTGTTTTAGGGTGAAACTCGTGAAGGACGGGGTGGCTCTCACTGGCACCTCGAAATTTTAGTATATGTTAGTGGGATAGT